CTCCAGCCTGGGCAACACAGAGAGACTCTTGTCTATAAAAAAATAATAATTAACTTTATTTACTTACTTGAGACAAAGTCTTGCTCTATTGCTGGGGCATGAAGGCAGTGGTGGCATCTTAGCTCACAGCAACCTCAAACTCCTGGGCTCAAGCCAGCCTCCCACCTCAGCTTCCCCAGTAGCTGGAAGTACAGGCATGCTCCACCACTGACTAATTTTTCTATTTTTTTGTAGCAACCGGGTCTCGCTATTTGGCTTAGGCTGGTCTTGAACTCTGGGCTCAAGTGATCCTCCTGCCTGGGCCTCCCAAAGTGCTAAGATTATAGGCATGAGCCACCGTGCCTGGCCACAATAATAAACTTTTCATTTTGGAATAATGTTAGATTTACAGAAATGTTGCAAAGATCATATAGAGTTCCCTTCCACCCTTCACTAGTTTCTCTTGTGTTATCATCTCAAACTACGGCACATTTGGCAAAACTCAGAAACCAGTAGTGGTACAGTATCACTCGCCAAACCCTAGACTTGACTGGGATTTCATCAGTTTTCCCGGTAATGTCCTTTATCAGTTCCAGGATCCAATCCAGGACACCACGTTGCACTCAGTCATATGCTACTGCATCCCTTTACCTGTGATGATGAAAGCAATAATTCCCTCTGTTTTGCAGCTAAACAAAAAAGAGGTTCAGAGGGTGAAGTTGAGGACTGAACTCTGATCTTTTTCTTTTGCTCAAAATTCCTTCCTAAAGGGGCCAGATGAGTCAGGCTTACATATGGTAAAATCCCACTAAGCAGGTTTTGTTAAGCAAATATAGTGTGGTTTACTTCGCAACCTGATTCCGGTATAGCATTAGCATCACCTAAAAGATAGAAAGCCCCCAATCTCGACTCAAGCATCCTAGCAGATCCTTATCTTAACTTGAAAGGTTCTCTGCTGGGACCTCCCAGAGTGCTCACATTTTTATCTTTTTTGGTTTTTATACAATTATGCTAATTTTTTTTTTTTTTTTTTTGAGCAGAGTCTCACCTTGTTTGCCGAGGCTAGAGTGAGTGCCAGGGCGTCAGCCTAGCTCACGCAACCTCAATCTCTGGGCTCAAACGATCCTGCTGCCGTCAGCTCTCCGAGTAAGCTGGGACTCAACGCATCGCGCCCACGATGCGCAGCTAAATTTGTTCTATATATATTGAGTGCCAATTAATTTCATTCTATTTATAGTAGAGGATCGGGTCTTCGGCTCTTGCTCAGGCTCGGTTTCGACTCTCTGAGCTCTAAACATCCCACCCGCCTCGGCCGATCCAGAGTTTAGGATTACAGGGCGTGAGCCACGCGACCGGGCTAAATAGCTCCAATATATCCATTACTTAATCGAAAAAGCACTTACAAGAAAATATCGACATTTATTATCTAAATTAAGCATTTCCTTTCTGGTCTTTTAGATAAAGCCTAATCTCTCAGCCAATTGTCAGCCAAAGAATCTTTAAACCCACCTATAACCTGTAAGCCCCACCCCCTTCGAGGTGGCCCACCTTTTTGGGCCAAACCAATGTATGCCTCCCACATATAGATTTATGACTTTACCTGTAACCCCTGTGTTTCTGAAATGTATTAAAATAAACTGTAACCCAGGCCGGGCGTGGTGGCTCACACCTGTAATCCCAGCACTCTGGGAGGCTGAGGTGGACGGATTGCTCGAGGTCAGGAGTTCGAAACCAGCCTGAGCAAGTGCGAGACACCGTCCTCACTCATAAATAGAAAGAAATTAATTGGCCATCTAATATAATTAGAAAAAAGCTGGGCATGGTGGCACGTGCCTGTAAGTCCAGCACTCGGAGCTGAGGCAGGAGGATTGCTTGACCAGAGTCTGAGGTTGCTGTGAGCTAGGCTGACGCCACGGCACTCACTCTAGCCTGGGCAACAGAGTGAGACTCTGTCTCAAAAAAAACCAAACAAACCGTAACCCAGTCACTGCAAATCTACTTGCTCAAGGCTTCTTGGGCGGGGCTCCGGGCCATAGTCCTTAAATGTGGCTCAGAATAAACCTCTTTCAAACATTTCAGAGTTTGGATGTTTCCATCCACAAAGTGATTGCCCTGTCACGTCTAGGAGGCGAGGTGGAATACACGGTTTAGGACTCGAGTGGATTTGGAGTCAGAATCCACTAGTGGTGTGAACTTGAGCCTTTGTCCCCGTCTGAAGGATGGGATCACAGATGATTACTTCCGGACTCAGTGAGGTAATACACGTGGGCTCACGCATGCCCGGGAAGTTACTATCAGCGTGGCAGCTACTAGGAGCTGGATCACGAGGCGCGAGACTAAACTGCTGAAACCCAGCTCCCTGTCCGGCATAACCAACCATCCCGCCTCCCCAGCCCTCCAGAGAAGACCGCAGGCAATGGCAACGTTCACTATGCCCTTCCTTACGCTGTGTCTTCAGTTCAAGTAGCTGGTTAGGAGCTTAACCAGGAGAACCTAGGTCTTGCTAAGACCTTGTCCCATCCACCTGAGCAGAGCCCCCTCCCCCTCCTGTCCAACATGGAGACTGCTGAGGGGGCCAGAGCCACCTGCCTGCCACTCGTAACTCCACTGACAGGATGACCACAGGGACCCCACCACCTTCCCTGTCCATAAACACCAGATGGAGGAAGTGTTCCAAGATTATTTTCATAAGAAGGTAAAATCATGACCCCCACACAGATATAAAGTGAACAGCTATGAACCGTTTTCTTTAACTTATAAGGAAGCCAGTTGTGATATTGGAACCAGCTCAGAAGGGCAGCCGAGGAACACTCACATTTATAGGACAGGAACGTTGGGCCAGGCATGGTGGCTCACGCCTGTAATCCTAGCACTCTGGGAGGCCGAGGGGGGTGGATCGCCTCGAGGTCAGGAGTTTGAACCAGCCTGGCGAGATCCCGTCTCCACCAAAAATAGAAAGGATTAACTGACCAACTAAAAATATTATAGTAAAATTAGCTGGGCATGGTGGGCATGCCTGTAGTCCAGCTACTTGGGAGGCTGAGGAGGAGGGATTGCTTGAGCCCAGGGAGATTGAGGTTGCTGTTGAGTAGGCTGAGGCCAGGGCATTCACTCTGGCCTGGGCAACAAAGTGAGACTCTGTCTCAAAAAAAAAAAAAAAAGGACAGAAACATTGAAATGAATGTGCAAATGGAGGCAAAACCAGTTTTTCCACAAGGGGGTGGGCGGGAGCCTGTAGCAGACAGGAGATTAGGAAAGGAAGGGAGCGCTGTGTGTGAGAGGTGCATGGTTTCCGCTGAAGCCACATTTCTTTCTGCAGAAGGAAGGTCACGAGCAGGGTACACTCTGTGATGTCGTAACCTAATGACATCCTCCGAGAACTGGCTCAATTCACACGTGGGAGGCAAGGTCCTTTCTGGGTGAATTGGGGAAATGACTTCTCACTTGCAAGCAAGAGGCCTGCAGTCTACACACCGCAGCTCTTTTTTTTTTTGAGACAGAGTCTCGCTTTGTTGCCCAGGCTAGGGAGGAGTGCTGTGGCGTCAGCCTGGGCTCACAGCAACCTCAAACTCCGGGCTCAAGCAATCCTCCTGCCTCAGCCTCCTGGTAGCTGGGACTACAGGCCGCGCCACCATGCCGCGTAATTTTTCTTAGTATATTTAGTTGGCCATTATTTTTTCTATTTATAGTAGAGACAGGTCTTGCTCTTGCTCAGGCTGGTTTCGAACTCCTGACCTTGAGCAATCCACCAGCCTTGGCCTCCCAGAGTGCTAGGATTACAGGCTTGAGCCACCACGCCTGGCCTCCAGACCTGCTCTGATCCTGACTGTGCTGAGCAGCTTTGGGCAGTTATACTACCTCTCTGATTTACAGCTTCCTCAGTTTTGAAGCAGGGTGTTAATATTACCTACTTCGTAGATTATTTTATGTTAACTGAGAAGAACATTTCTTTGAAAATGCCCAGTGGGCCCTACAATTCTTCCTTATCCACCCAACCTTCTCCCCTCTCACCCACTGTGTCCCCAGCAGGGTAGGGAGTTGGCATCTGGTTGCCCTGGAGGCTGGCCCTGCTGGGGACAGTTCACACCTGCAGCACCTGGGTGTGGTCTCAGGTAAGGGCAGTCATGCAGACAGGGTAACCTAAGGCTCAGGGCCCCCCTGTAACCCCACGCTTTCCTTTGTCCAGCTTCTGAGTCTGTGCCTACAGGTTCCCAGGTATGGAACTGCAGGGCAGCAGCATGGGGGCTTCCAGGTGGGCCCCTCCTTGCAGTGGGAGTTTGGGTGAACGAAGGATTTGGTCTTCTGACCAAATTTGGTCTCCCTCCAAGAGGCCACGACCCCGGGACAGTTGCAGCAATTCCACGGCCTCGTCCTTCACTTTCTAGTTTTGCAGTTCGTTTTCTCCTCTCAGCATCCGTGCAACCAGGTGCAGTGGGCAGGAGGGAACTGTCCTTCCTCTTGCCTATGGAGAAGCCGAGGACCTGGGGACAGGCCTGAAACCAGTGGTGCCAAGCGCGGCTCCCAATTCTCTGGCCCATGCTGCCCTCTAGTGGCTGTGTGCGCACCTGCCTTCGGGGAGCGGGGACAGACAGCCACAACTCACTGGGCTTGTGGACAGCAGTGGCCAACCTCTCTGGGTCCCCCGGCAGGGGACCGTACCCCTCCTAGGACTCTTACAGCACTTCAGCCCCATGCCAGCCCCTCTCCCTGTCTCTCAGCATCTAATTTAGGTTGCATATTTATATCTTAATTGTGGCAAAATATACTTAACATTTACTGTCATAACCATTTTTTTTTTTTTTGAGGCATAATCTCGCTCTGTCACCCTGGGTAGGGTGGAGTGGTGTCATTGTAGCTCACTGCAGCCTCAAATGCTTGGGCTCAAGTGATCCTCCTGCTTCAGCTTCCCGGGTAGCTGGGACTACAGGTGTGAGCCATGACACTCTGTTAATTTTTTGATTTTTAGTAGAGATGGGGGTCTCACTCTTGCTCAGGCTTGTCTTGAATTCTGGAACTCAAGCGATCCTCTTGCCTTGGCCTCCCAGAGTGTTAGGGTTACAGGCCTGAGCCACCGCACCTGGCCACTATCATCAGCATTTTAAGTGTAGCCTTCTGTGGCACTTAGCACACTCACATCCACCGCCACCATCCATCTCCAGAGCTCTATTCATCTTCCCAACCTGAAACTCTACCTGTTGAACAGTAACTCCCATTCCTGTCTCCCCCCACCCAGCACCTGGCAACCTCTCATCCACTTTGTCTCTATGAATTTGACTACTCTAGACGGCTCATGTAAGTGGAATCATCCACCACTTGTCCTTTGCATCTGCTTGTTTCACTTGGCATAATGTAGCCAGGTTCATCTGTGTTGCCAGCACGGGGCAGGACATCACTCCTCCTTAGGGCTGCATCATGCTCCGTGGTACCTGCAGACCACATCTCACCCTTCCATTCTCCTGCTGATGATCACTTGGCTGCTTCCACCTCTTGGCTACTACTGTGAGTAACGCTGCTATGAACATGGGTACAGAAATATCTCGCTGAGACTAGACAATACATTTTATCTTGGCCAGTGGACTGCACCCCTGGGAAGCGCGGTCTGTGCCTAGTGCTTGGCAGGCGCCCTCCAAGTAAGGGCACAGAAGAGGAAGAAAGAGGAATGAAGGCTGGTGCAGGGCAGGAGGAGGGAGGTAAGTAAACACACTGCAGAAAGCTCCCTAGAAACGTCCCCATGTGGAGTGACAGCCAAAGAGCAAAGGCATCGCCCAGACTTTCATCGGGTCACCCCTCCAAACACAACCAGAGACACACTGTGACATGAGGAATTACAGTACAACAGTACTCTGTTTCCCGGGCTAGAGTGCCGTGGCATCAGCCTCACTCATAGCAACCTCAAACTCCCGGGCTCAAGTGATCCTTCTGCCTCAGCCTCCCGAGTAGCTGGGACTACAGGCATGCGCCACCATGCCCGGCTAATTTTTTCTATATATTTTAGTTGGCCAATTAATTTCTTTCTATTTATAGTAGAGACGGGGGTCCTCACTCTTGCTCAGGCTGGTTTCGAACTCCTGACCTTGAGCGATCTTCCTGCCTCCCAGAGTGCTAGGGTTACAGGTGTCAGCCACCGAGGCCAGCCCCACAAGGTTAGATTTTAATGGTAGGAAACCAAACCAAACTTGATGACAAAGAGAGAAAAGTGTCCCCTGAGAGCCGGGAGCTGGCCTGATCCCCACAGCTGGGTGTGGTGTGCTCCAATCTCCTAGCTCACGCACACTGGGCAAGGTCACTCTGTGACCATGAGGAAGTGAGTCAAGGTCAAAGGCAACACCACTCAGCAGCTGTCCTGAGCACTGCGTCTCCGGGCCATCCGCATCCTGGGCCACTGCTGCATCCCCCCAATCACAGCTGCAGTGTCAACCCAACTGTGTGGGCATGGCCCTGGGGCTCTGACGGGCATCAACACAACAGGTGGAGAGCGAGGGCTGGAGAAGACTCGGGAGCCGGGCACTTCCCTTTCCATCACAGCAACCGCTGATGACACAGGTTAGTATTGTTCCCAGTTCACAGACAGGACGTTAAGGCTCGGAGGGTTACTCGCTTGTGCACACCTGAGTAGAGGCGGGTCTGAGACCTGAGGTGTCGTCCCCAAGCCGAGCGCTCTTTCCTGCCACCCCCCCTTTCTCCGGGGCCTCCCTCACAAGCCAGCCCTGCGGTGAGGCCAGCGTGTGAGCGGGGGGAGAACGTGCCCCGGCTGGGTGTTGGTTCTCCTAGAGGACCTGGTGGCCCTAGAGGGGCCCCTATGGCAAAGGCTCCACCCTGCAGCCAACCCCTCTGCTGGTGGCCTGTGTCCAGGCGACGCACACCTGTGGATGGGCTGGCGCAAGTCTGCAGTGCCGGGCGTGAGGCGGGAGAGCAGTTCCTCCGTCCGCCAAACTGAGCCCTGGTTTTGGGGGAAGGGGGTGCGGGCACGTTCCGGACATTCATGCGACGGTGGGCAGATCCCAGCAAACATGGTCCCCGGGCTGCTACCAAAGGCCAGCATTTACCTGCCGGCGATCTTAGAACACCGACGTGTCTCTAATAGTTACGCATTTATTTTCATGTGAGAGAAGAAAAAACCTAACTGGTACATCAGCGTGTGGCCGCCTGGATACGAGGCTCAGCACAAGACCGAAGTTGGAAGTGAGGGGAAAACACAGTACATCAACGTAAATGAAATAACAGAACAGAAAGTCCTTGGTTATGATGGAAATCGTGGCCGTGCTCCAGGAATGCTGGCTCGGGACTTGCTGCTCTAAGCTCAGGGCAAGAAGCTGTGCTCTGGGCCGAAGCCCCGAAGGGTTCTGCACAGAAACTGGCCCAGCGCTCGGAACCTGTGGCGTGTGGCACGTCATGCAGACCCCAGGGAGGAAAGCGCGTCTTGTTTAACCTGTCCATGCCCTACAGTCGTCTCAAGGTGACCTATAATCGTCTCAAGGCGACGAAGCAACAGAAGTGGTCCTCCTTCAGAGGGAGAAGGATCTCCTAGGTGTGGCCTTGTGCAGGCAGTGGTTACAGGGCAGCCCACTGGAGGGCCCTAGTGGGACGTGGGGGGCACAAGTGGAGTGCTGAGGGACACCTGCCCTGGCACTGTCCTGGAGAAGACAGAGAGAGGGTATGTGTGTGTGTGTAAGACACTCAACCTCTGCACCCTGTTCCCCAGCATACAACAGGCACTCAATCTGTGCCCGCTGACTCAAGGCAGCACGCAGGAGGAGGTGCCAGAAGGCAAGGTGAAGGGGCTGCTAATGTCCCCAGGTGTCTGGGGACCACCCTCTTCACAAGGGCCCCAGCCCCACCTCAACATGACACACGCCAGAGACAGGAAGTCCACGGCTATGCCACCACTAGGTTACATTCTTATACATGTATGAACCAAGGGGAGATGTTTGCTATGAAGATTTTTCTCCCCCCAATCCAAAGAGTTGTTTCCCATCAATTAAACTTCAACATTTTCAAAAAGCACTTTTTAAGGGACCCTGGAATTTTTCCTCAAACAGCTCAGCCCCGCAAGCCACGGCTGGTCCCAGCACCCTGTGAGACAGCTAAAGATTCAGGGCTGGGGACCCAGGCAGCACCCGAAGACTTGCCCCAACTCGCCCCTGGAAATGTGTCAGGGCCAGCAGGGAACTCCAGGTGTGAACCTCACGGTCTAGGAGCCTTGGGGTGCCCGGGGGTAGAGGGGGAGCTGAAGGTCTGGGGTCACCGTCCACCACTGCCCCCTGAGCTGGAGGACGCTCAGCTCTCCCTTCGTGTCCCAGACATGCGGGCCAGAGCTGCAGGCTGGTCCCCACCGAGGCTCAGAAGGAAAGTGTGCAAGAGCAGGTCAGGAAGGGAAACCAAGTCAGGGGAGGGCCCCGGCCGGGGCTAGAGGGCCGCTCACTGCCCTGGTGCCGGGCGGGCGGGCTCAGCAGCACCCCGCGGCACTTCGCTTCACGTGGCACGGCTTGCAGAAGAGACGGTCGTTCAGGGGGTAGCAGCCTTGGTCCGTGGGCTCCACAGACAGCAGGATCCTGCAGTCCTGGGGAGACAAGGACAAAGGACACGTGTGGACGTGCCCCAGGCCTGGGCACCCCTGCACAGGGCAGGCTCACTCGGCATCCGAGTGAACCAGCCGAGGGGGCGAGCGTACTCCCTGTGGGGAGGAAGGCGGCTGCTCCTTCCATCCTCCCGACATACCCAGGCCAGGTCCCCACAGGGGAGACCCGACGTCCACGGGGGCCTTCATCCGCGTGGAGGTGGGCAATGGCAACAGAGTCACTGTGGGGAAAACTGAGGACACTCTGATCAGGGGCAGTTGAGGCTGGAAGGGCCTTTTCCTTAACAAGCCCCCGACAGCTCTTAAAACGTAAGTTCCATGCAATAGGAGCCCCAGGTACCACCAGCTGCCCAGCCAGGACGGGCCTGGCACGCCCACGGCTGCAGCAGGTCTCTGTTCAACGGGAACCTGGGTGTAGTCCGGTCCCTTCGTTTCACAGCCTGTCCCAGGTCACACAGCTGGGTCTGGAGCTGGGGCTGGGCGGGGTGTCCAGGCTCTGAGGCTAGGGGTCTCCTTGTGGTTCCGAGGCCTGCACAGTTTAAACACTGGCACAAACTGCAATACTTTCAAGTTTTCAAATCACCAAAGGATTTCAGAACAAGAAGCGTGGGGATTTGGGGCCCAGATTTTGCCAGCGTCACCATTTTGCCCTGGGCATCTGGGCCTCCCCTGGGCACAGGCTGGAGGGTGATAGTGACAGCAACTCATACCCGGACACTTGGTGCCAGGCGCCCTTTGGAAGCAGCACGGACCAACCAAAGGGGCTTGTCCCGTACAGATAACTTCGGGGTCACAGGTGGTCACAGCAGAGAGCAGGGTCCACAATCTGCCTTCCTCCCTGGCCAGCAGGTGGGTGCCCTCGTATGTCTCTTGCCTGCAAGGCCACCCCAAGTCTCTCCAGTGGACTCTGGGTGACATAACCCCAGGATCTGCGTCATTCACAGCAGCCACTTGTTTGGCATAGGGAGAACAAGTGCCAAGCCTGAGGCTCCAAAGGGACACATGTGACTGCTCCTAAATTAGAGCCAAGTGGGGAAAACCCCTCACTACAGCCAGTGTCACAAAGTCTTTGAAGGAACCATGGGGTGGCTGAAAGCTGGCTGGACCTGGCCCAGAAAAATATTGGCTGGAACCACCTATCTGAGCCTTAGTTTCCCCATCTTAGATAGGGATAATGAATCCCATCTTGCAAGACTCATTAGAATTATATAAGGTGATACATATGAAAGCATTTTGTAAGTTTATTTATTTATTTATTTTTGAGACAGAGTCTCATTCTGTTGTTCAGGCTAGAGTGAGTGCCATGGCGTCAGCCTAGCTCACAGCAACCTCAAACTCCTGGGCTCAAGTGATCCTCCTGCCTCAGCCTCCCGAGTAGCTGGGACTACAGGCATGCACCACCATGCCTGGCTAAATTTTTCTATATATTTTTAGTTGGCCAATTAATTTCTTTTTATTTTTAGTAGAGTTGGGGTCTCGGTCTCGCTCAGGCTGGTTTTGAACTCCTGACCTTGAGCAATCTGCCTCCCAGAGTGCTAGGATTACAGGCGTGAGCCACCCGTGCCCGGTCCCTGCATTTTGTAAATTTAAAGCACTGCCTGTGTCTAAAAGACTTGCTATCCCTCCATCAACAGCCACAAATAATACGGACCCTGAAGCAGGTAAGAATGGTGAGATCGGGGCATGGGCAGTGCCTGGCAGCCGTTTCCCTCCCCAGAGAACAGCACCCCAACTCTGCTCCAGGCTATAGTGGTTCAAGAACCTCATTTTCCAAAACGTAACTGCTGGAGTCCAAATTCCGCCTTATAACAGCAGCCTTGGCCACGCCCGCCCAGGACAGCAGGGGGTTATTTGCTCCCTAGGCGGCTCAGGAAAGTGCTGATCACAGCGCTTGACTTTGTCATTGGGCTTTCAAGAAGCCTTATCAGCTGGACCTTGAACTATGATCGACCAAGAGGACGTAATTACAAAGCAATGAATCAACTTCTCTACCCAGTTCCCTCCGATACCCTCCGTGAAAACAGCCTCCTGGTTCCAGTATCCGTTTAAATAAATGTGAGCAAATAAATATTTAGAATTACTCATCGGCTCAGTAAGAGATTTGCCCTGGGACTCTCCACCAAGGTGACACCCATGAAAGTTGCCACCCTGTCCCCAGCAGAGCAGACAGAAACCTCAGTGATTACGGAGCTGGCAGCAGGAGTGGGAGAGGATTCGTGGAGCCTCCCCGGCAGGACTGGCTACAGAACTCACGCAGTCCAGGGCGAAGTGAAAACGCAGGGCTCCTCGTTCAAAAAGTAAGCGATTCAGGACAGGAACAGCGACAGTGGGGTTTTGAAGCATGCGTAGGGCCCTTGTGATCCGAGAGTCCTGTGGACAGCTCCCTGGGCTTTTCTTGCTGGGGTGACCAACCGTACCAGCTTCCAACCAGACTCCCCAGGTCAGCCGGCCCCTCCCCGCAGCCCGGTCCCCCCAGGCTCTTTCCTTCTCCCTGGCCTCATTGCTAGCCACCCCTCCAGCCCACCACACTCCAGACAGGGAAGTGCCTGGAAACTTCCTCTTTCTCTGATTCTCCGGGCTTGCTCATGCTGCAGGGGTTTTTTTTACAGGCCCTTCCCCCTTTCTGGACTTCCTTTCCCTTCTCTGAGTATCTGGCAAACTCCTACTCATCCTGCAAGACCCAGTTAAACATCACCTCCCCTACAAGAGTGCCCCTGATTCTGCCACCCTAGTTAGACTCCATCATCACTGCCTTCTTAGCCCCAAAGCTGACTCGAGCACGCTCTTTCCCAGCACCCGGAAGGGACGTCTGTGCTGGCACCTGGCCAGCATCCCCTCCTCCCTTCCTGTGGCTCATGTGGGTCTGCCTCCCCGGCCCCAGGGGCCATCAGTCCTAGCAGCTGGCAGCCCCCCACACGGTGCTTGGCCCAGAATGGGCAAGTAACCCAAGCGGGGCTGGGCAGGGGCCTTCCTGGGACTGAGGCTTCCCCTGCCCTCTTTCCTTGGGGGTTTCTGCATTGGGAGGTGTGAACCTGAGCCATCTGTGCCTCTGGGTCCCCCCTCAAAGACGATGCCAGCCCCCAGGAAGAGAAAATGAGGCAAACACACAAAAAAAGTCAGAACCAAGAGATGGCGGGAGCCCTGCTGCCACCACCTGATGTCATCAGTGATCTCACCACCAGGAACCAACGGGCCCCGTGTCCTGCCAAAGCAACCTGAGTTTGGTGTCCACAATCATTAACCCAAAGAGTTCTGATCAATAGACTAGATTTGTGATTATTTCCACTCATTTGTCTCTGCCACAGACAGCGAGCAATTGGAGAGCAGAGCCCCCACCCCAAGCTGTCCCCGCGTCCCAGAACCCAGTCTGGGGCGCGGCACGTGGCAGGCTTGAGTGGCGATGGGGCGTCATTGCGCCGCCACTGCTCCACTCACCTCACACCTGTAGCAATTCTCGTGGAAGTTTCTTCCCATGCACTCGATTTTGAAGGCATCTTTCCCGTCCCGGGGAATGATGGGATTCTCACAGATGCTGCACACGGGGGCGAATTTCCTGGAGGGAAAGGACCCAGGCGATGAACACAGAAATTAGCTGTCAGAACTGGACGGGCTGGCTGGAGTTCACCTCCCCAGCGACTCCAGCCCCATTGCCATGTGACCGCACCTGGAGCTGCAGCGGCCATGTCCCCTGCTTCCCGGCAGGAGCAGGTGGAGGGAGCTATGCGCGGATACCTGGTGCCCAGGGTGACTGGAAGATGTCCGAATTGAGAACTGTGTCTGTCTTGTATTACAGGCCACTGCTTTTTTTCCTTTTTAGTTTTTACCCTTTCTTTTTTAGTAGACACATCCATCTCTGCCCTTGGGCAGTGCGCAACTCGCAGGCAGGGACTGAGTCCCACGGATATCTGCGTGTTCCCAGGGCTTTGTCCAGCTCCAAGGGGAGGCCCCAGATTCAGGTCCTGGGAGGTCTGCACACTTACCCAGAGCTTCAATACCAGCTGCAGTAAGACGGAACCCTGAGTGGCGCCCACCTGTGACACTGTGACAGACACTGGTTTTCGTCCACTTTCCCGGCTCATACCTCCCATCATCGCCCTTGTCACAACACGGCCGCTTTCAGCATCAGAAACCAGCGTCTCTCCCTCCCTCTGATCTTCTCTTGCTCTCCTTTCACCTGCTCCTTTTCCTCCCCAAGGCAAGAATCTGCTCTTGCCTCTCTGTCTTGAGGCTGGCCATAAAGAAATTATCTGACTGTGGGCCATAAGATCCTCATTCCAGAGAGGGTCCCGCCCCGGGCTGCAGGAAGGGATGCTACAGCAAAAGGCCAAGAGGAATCCGAACAGGCTTTGCGGGGTCTTCCTCTGTCTAGTAGTATTAGATCACACCCTTTCGCCCCATCCCATTTCTGCAGGGTAGACAGTTACTCCTATCCAGTGACGTCTCCATCAAAGGCCCCGGAAGACAGGGCTCGGAGAGCTTCCGGATAGTTGAACATGTGGGGGTTCCTGGAGGTGGGGTGCCCGGGGAGGCACGGAAGCGCCATACCCCTACCCCCCAGACCTCATCCTACACCTGTCTATATCCTCTGTAATATCCTTTATTTTATTTTATTTTTTTTGAGACAGAGTGTCACTCTGTTGCCCAGGCTAGAGTGCCGTGGCGTCAGCCTAGCTCACAGCAACCTCAAACTCCTGGGCTCAAGCGATCCTCCTGCCTCAGCCTCCCGAGTAGCTGGGACTACAGGCATGAGCCACCATGCCTAGCTAATTTTTTTTTTCTATATGTTTTTAGTTGCCCAACTAATTTCTTTCTATTTTTAGTAGAGATGGGGGTCTTGCTCTTGCTCAGGCTGGTCTCGAACTCCTGAGCTCAAACGATCAGCCCACCTCGGCCTCCCAGAGTGCTAGGATTACAGGCGTGAGCCACCGCGCCCAGCCCGTCATATGCTTTATAATAACCTGGTAAACAGGAGGCTCTGGCCTGGCACTCAGGCGTGGCTCCTTCATCCTGCCCGGGTCCCACCCTGTCCTCCCCACCCCTCCCCGAGCATGGACCCCTTCGAACCTGTAGAAGTCGTCCAGGCAGTACACCTCGTTCTGGCTGCCCAGGGCGAAGCTCTCGTCCCCGATGCACCGGGCGCAGGCCACACACGTGAAGCAGGGGGGGTGGAACGCCCGGCCCAGGGCCCTGATGACGTGCTCCCGGACCACCTCGCCACACTTGCCGCACTTCTCGAGGGTGTCCTGGGACAGAAGGCCACTGCCAGAGCCATTCCAGGGACACGCCCACCCTAAGCCATGAGGGTCTTCCGGCTGGCGATCCTCGGGGACCCAGGAGGCTGGGGGTGCAGGAGAGGCACGCAACCGGCCCCTGACCACTGCCCCAAACCTCCACTGTCGCCCATAACAGACTGAGCTCGGCCCTGCGTCCCTGGCTACAGTGAGTAACGCTGCCTTGAAGCTACAGCCGCGCTTCCTGGCACTGGCCTGCGCTTGGGGCCAGGGCCCACCAGAGCTCTTAGGGGAAATGTCTCCCGAACCTCAGAGTGGGGAAGAGGAATTCCCGGACGACTGCCTTTCATCCTTCAGACAATAAACCTTGAAATCCTCCCCTTTTCCCATTTGGCAGCTCAGCCAAGTGCCTCGTTCTGCTTTCAGGAACCACTGGAGGGTCTATGCCACTCACTTCTGGGTGCTAACTCCCCTGGTCTCGTCACACTTCCTACTTTGGTTTCCTTTGTTTGGATTTGCTTATTTTATATTTCATAGTGTTATATGCATTGTTATTTTTTATCATTTTAAAATGTTATTTTATTTCCTTTCCTTTTTTTTCTTTCTAAAATTGCTTTTGTTTTTGTTTTCATTTTATTTCTTTCGAGTTGGAGGTGTATTTGAAGCATTCTTTTTTTTTTTTTAATTGATTTTATTGTGGTGAGAATGGCTAACATGAGATCTACCTTCTTTTTTTTGTTTGTTTTTGAGACAGAGTCTTGCTTTGTTGCCCAGGCTAGAGTGAGTGCTGTGGTGTCAGCCTAGCTCACAGCAACCTCAAACTCCTGGGCTCAAGCAATCCTCCTGCCTCAGCCTCCCGAGTAGCTGGGACTACAGGCATGCGCCACCATGCCCGGCTAATTTTTTCTATGTATATTAGTTGGCCAATTAATTTCTTTCTATTTATAGTAGAGACAGGGTCTCGCTCTTGCTCAGGCTGGTTTTGAACTCCTGACCTCAAGCAATCCACCCGCTTCAGCCTCCCAGAGTGCTAGGATTACAGGTGTGAGCCATTGCGCCCAGCCGACATCTACCTTCTTTTTTTTTTTTGTTTTTGAGACAGAGTCTCGCTTTGTTGCCCAGGCTAGAGTGAGTGCCGTGGTGTCAGCCTAGCTCACAGCAACCTCAATCTCCTGGGCTCAAGCGATCCTCCTGCTTCAGCCTCCCGAGTAGCTGGGAATAGAGGCATGCGCCACCATGCCCGGCTAATTTTTTCTATGTATATTAGTTGATCAATTAATTTCTTTCTATTTTTAGTAGAGACGGGGTCTCGCTCAGGCTGGTTTCGAACTCCTGACCTTGAGCCTTCTAGAGTGTGACCCTGTGTGGCGGCTAAGTAATGGCCCCCAGAGATCCAGGCCCTAATCTCTGGAACTTGGGCACGGTACCTGGTATGGCAAAATGGACTTTGCAAATGGGACTAAGTTAAGGATCTTGAGATGGAGGGATTATCCTGGATTAGCTGGGTGGATCCTAAATGCCACCACAAGTGTCCCTAGGAGGGGGAGGCAGAGGGGCCGTGACACAGAAGGTGGCAATGTGACCGCCGCAGCAAGACGCTACACTGCTGGCTTTGGGGATGGAGGAGGGAGCCCGGGAATGCCGCTCGGACACCAGGAAAGGCAAGGAAACTGATTCTCCCCGGAGCCTCCAGGGAGCGACCTCAATTCTGGCCCGGTGGACCTGATTTTGGACCTCTGACCTCCAGCACTGTGGGAGGATAAATGTGTGTTTGGAAGCCACCAACTCTGTGGCGATTTCTTCCAGTAGCCCTAGGGCTCTGACACACCTTTGCAGAGCTCCTCCTCCTTGCTGGGCCTCGGCCTCCTCATCTGCGAAACGGGTCAATAGTCCCCGTGATACTTCCCAGGACCGTCGTGAGGACTGAAATGACGTCACGTCTCCCGAGGGTCTGGCTCAGAGCCCGGCGCCCGGAGGCCTGCGCGGGGGTGTTACCTGGTAGCAGCTCTCGCAGAGGGGCCGCCCGTCCTTCTGGTAGAAGCTCTGCCCGGCCAGCTGGCGGCGGCAGGCGCGGCACGTGAAGCACTGGGCGTGGTACTGCCTCTTCATGGCCTCCACGGCCAGCTCTCGGGGGGACACCGTCTTGTGGCAGAAAGCACAGATGTCTGGGGACAAGGAGACACAGGCTGTCACCAGCCCAGCCTGGGAGGCCTGTGTCCAGTCGCCACCCAGCCGAGTGCCCGGGGATCTGCCTCCAACCCCTGGGGGTTCCCCATCTGACAAACACAGGGCGTCGCGAGGAGCATTAAAACGGAAGCTGGAACAGCCTTTGAGAAGCCAAGATCAAGGACACAGGCAAGGTACTGCTCCACAGCAACGCCTTACACCCAGATAACCCGAATTTATCAAAGACCTAAGTGTAAAAAATGAAACCGTAAGAATCCTAGAAGAAACCACAGGAAAATTATTGTATAACTGGAGAAAAGGCCTTTCTAACAATGACATAAAATCCAGAAGCCAGGAAAGGAAGGGCTGAGACATCCAACTACATAAAAACCAAATTTTTATGGACGGCCGGGTGTGGTGGCTCATGCCTATAATCCCAGCACTTTGGGAGGCCAAAGTGGGAGGATTGCTTGAGGCCAGGAGTTTGAGACCAGCCTGGGCAACATGGTGAGACTTTGTTTCTACCAAAAATTAAAAAAATAAATAAATAGCCAGGCATGGTGGCACATGGCTTGGGGTCACAGCTACTTGAGAGGCTGAAGGGAGGATCGCTTGAGCTCCAAGAGTTCAAGATCACAGTGAGCTATGATCACACCACTGCACTCCAGCCTGGGTGACAGAGCGAGACCCTTTCTCTAAAAAAAAAAAAAAATTTTTTTACAGATGACAAAACCCACTGTAAGTCAAAAGACAATGAGGAACTTAGAAGAAATTTCAACTCATACACACAGACGCAGTCACCGACTGCCCCCTATGGGTGAACTTTGCATTACACATGGTACCTGCCCCTCTGGCCACACTACTTCCTCTCCTAGAATTAAACTCACAGATAAATCTGGCACATGCAAAATGACCCATACACAAGGTTTTCAACATCAGCTTATTTGGTATAGGAAACCACCTAATATCATCAATAGGTGCAAAGCACACTGGTACAACCCACTAAGGAAGTACTTGCACTTAAAAAAGACTAAGGATCAGCACTTTAAAATGTTGGTATGTGCAACCAGCCATGAATGATCTAAGGAAAGCAAATGAACACAGGAAGACACAGCCCATATTTGCCACACAATTTGTGGAAAAAATGGGGAAGGGAAGTGGGCCAGACCACTATCTGTATTTCTTTATAGCGCATAGAAATGTCTCTGAGGAACGAGGCAGATGTCAGCATTGAGGCTGCCCATCTGAAAGAAACTGGGTGATATGAGAAGGGCCCAGAAGCAAGACTTCTCCCTGTGTGCCCATTTATGCTTTTTTTTATACTTACGTGATGGGCCCCAGGTATTGAAAAAGCAGTGCAGTGAACAAAATTCAATGCATTTTTACTATCAGAGCAAACTGCTGGTAACAGATTAATGTGTTAATATGTTTAGGCACGAGCCGTGGGGCTCACGCCTGTAACCTAAGCACTCTGGGAAGCCGAGCGGGCGTTCGAAACCAGTCTCAGCAAGAGGAACTCCATCTCTTACTAAAAAAAAAATAAAAGAAATTAATTGGCCAACCTAAAAATATATGTAGAAAAAATTAGCGGGCATGGTTGGTGCATGCCCTGTTAGTTCAGCTACTCGAGAGGCTGAGCAGGAGAGCTTGAAGCCCAGGATTGAGGTTTTGCTGTGGAGCTAGGCTGATGCACCAGCACTACTAGCCCGGGCAACAGCGTTAAGACTCTGTCTCAAAAAAAGTAAACAATATGATTTATTTCGGAAAGTAAGGCAGTAAACATTAAATTGACCCAATTTATAAAGCAACCAGCACTATAGTGTGAGCTGGGGTGGGAAACTGGGTCTGCTCTTGTAAAGTTCCCACCTGCAAGCCCATGCTGGCCCCATGAGGGTGCCCATGGGGACCACCCTGCGCACATACCTGTGGATGTCTCTCTCTCGGGGAAGCCAACAGGCTCTGCTGGGGGAGGTGGCAGCTCCTCCTCCGTGGGCCCGAGGGGACCAGGCTGAGGCTGGACTGGAGGTCGCTCCACTGGAGCCTGTGGGGACATAAAGTGAGCAGGAGTCATCCCGTGGGGACCTCCTGCAGCCCTCCAGCTCTGCTCCTCACCTGGGTGGCCCCAGGCACAATGAGTCCCAGGGTATTGAGGAGGAAACCGAGGCCCGGAGAAGCAAGTGACCTGTCTAAGGCCGCTCGGTGGGAAGGGGACAGTGGCAGCTGGAGCCCAGCCTCCTAGCCTCTTGCCCTGGGTCCCCTCAATAAGTCCAAGCTGCTCTTTCTACTTGGAAGGAATCTCCTGGAACCGGGTTCTCCCTGGATGCCGGACTGCGTGGGCTCAGCCCTGGCCTGGGACCTGCCCGTTCCCACAGCGGCCTCTGCTAAGGGCCGGGATTAAAAACGGGTTTCCCACGCAGCATGAGGGATTCGGTCAGACACATGGGACCGTCTTCCTCAGGGACAGAGCGGGTGCCCAGAGGGGACAGGGTGTGGCTCCCCTCTCCAGGGACCTTGAAATGCCTGGCCAGACCTATTTGTGTGAGCCTGAGTGGGGCCTGCCCTCCGCAGGAGACCGGGCCAGACAACTTGCAGCCCTATAATCCCTGCAAGGCCCAGAAGGCCCAGACCCCCTCACCCAGGGCACGCGGGGGATGGCGGTACCTGTGGTGGGGGCGGGGGCGGGGGCAGGTGCAGCTGCTCCAAGTCCGAAATGAGCGACGCCCCCAGGGGGGCAGGGGGCTCCTCATCAGGTGGCAGGTACGCAGGAGGGGGCGGCGGGAGGAGGTCCAGGTTGGCAAGCGCGTCCTCACCATCCAGGGGAGGAGGCGGCGGGGAGCATCCTGCAACCGGAAGAGGAGAGGTTGGCCCACAGCCTCCGTAGGCGGACAGAGATTTCTATTTCCCCACGGGATTGTATGGCGGGGTGGCGAAGGGCTCAGATCTGGGGCCGCCCAGACCTGGGTCCCATCTCTGCCTCAGCCATTGACTTGCTGTGTGTCCTCAGGCAAGAGACTTAATCTGAGTCTTCATTTGCTCAGCTGGGAAGCCATGAGGGCTGCTGAGGACTAAATGAGACCATGCAGTGAGTGGCTGGGGCACATATTTCAGAACGGTTAGCATAGAGATGGTATTTTACACATACACACACACACACACACACACACACACAAACACAGAGAGAAACTGATCGACTAATTGAAAGAAATCCCAGGTGTCCAGACTGGGTAGCTGCAGGGATAGTGGCTGCACATGTCTGTTTTCCTTTAATCCCTATTTTCTTTTCTTTCTTTTTTTTTTTGGAGACAGTCTCTCTTTGTTGTCCAGGCTAGAGTGAGTGCTGTGGCATCAGCCTAGCTCACAGCAACCTCAAACTCCTGGGCTCAAGTGATCCTGCCGCCTCAGCCTCCCGAGTAGCTGGGACTACAGGCATGCGCCACCATGCCTGGCTCATTTTTTTTTCTACGTATATTAATTGGCCAATTAATTTCTTTCTATTTATAGTAGAGACAGGGTCTTGCTCTTGCTCAGCCTGGTTTCGAACTCCTGACCTCGAACGATCCGCCCTCCTGGGCCTCCCAGAAGTGCTAGGATACAGGCGTGAGCCACCACCCCGCCATAATTCTTCTTTTCAGCTGTGTTCTGTCCTAGCGTTTTATACTTGTCTGGAGATTTTGCTTCAGTGCCCAGTGGGTATTGGGGTTATTAACAGGTATTGATGAACCAAATACCCTATACCATCGTTCCAGCTGTTTGCTCGACCCTCCCAGTCAGTCTTTGGCTGTGGTAACAAAAGAGGGTTGGGGGCAGGGTCGTTGTACTCTGACCAGCAATCTCTCAGCATTTTTTTTTTGAGACAGAACTCTCTGCTCTGTTGGTGTCTGTCTCCTAGTCTCTCTGTGCAACCTCAAATTATGTTGTGTTGTAGCAATCTCTCTGTAGCCTTCCCTGATAGCTGGGGATCTCTCAGGCATGCACCCACTTTATTGCCCGCTAATTTTTTCTATATATTTTAGTTAGCCAATTATTCTTTTATTTTTTTGTAGGAGTGTTGTGTTCTTGTCTCTTGTTCTGTACTGTTTTCAAACTCCTGATCCTGAGTCCTCCTGATTGGCTCCCAGATGTGCTTAGGATTACAGGAGTGAGCCACTATCGCCTGCCATTCTCAGAATTTGTTTTTTTGTATATAATATTCTTTTATTATATGTATCTTTTATCCTATGATTTATCTTTTATATAATTTTTTTAATAATGTGTTTTAATAATTCTGGATGGGTTGTGTGTGGCTCTACGTCTGTTTCTCTTGTTCTGGGTTTATGTCTCTAGGTTGAGGGCGATTTATTTATATATAAGGTCAGGTGTTCTATTACCAGCCTGAGCGCAATGAGCGAGATCTTCTCTCTCTTTTCTCTTATATATGATTATGAAATTAATGTTTTATTGTTAGAAAAAACTTAAGCTGTGTCTTTGTGTGTCTTATGGCTTGTGTAGTTTCTGGTTTGATGTGTCTGATGGTGTCTAACACCCAGGGTGTGTTGATGGTTGCTGTGAGCTAGCTGATGCCACAGCACTTCATCGTAAGCTCCTTGTGGCAACAAAGCGAGACTCTGTCTCAAAAAAAAAAAAAAGATATTTACTTTCTGTCTTGCTGACGTCCCAGTTCTGGGCGTTTGCCGTAGGCCGCGGCAGTCTGAGCACAGGAGCTGTGAAAGCGTCCGTGATGGGTCTCCATGGGGCGAGAGTGCGTGAAACCGCCTGCTGGAAGGCCTTGTTCAAACACAGGCATGACCAGCCCTAAGGATGTGGCCCTCGGGGTGTGGTCTCTGGACTAGCAGCAGCAGCAGCGTCCCTGTCCCCACGAGCTTGTTAGAAATGCCACTTCTCTTGCCCCAGACCTGCAGGATGCGAAACTCTGGGGATGGGGTCAGCCGTGTGGAGCCCAAGGCGCCCTCTAGGTGACACTGATGCTACTCCAGGGCAGGAGCCAGCACCCTCATTAAATAATAGATTCAGGTAATGACCATCAGGTGTCAAAAGCATTCGGCCAAAGGCTGATCAGGAACTTTCTAAGGTGGGGTGAGGCTGCCAACACCTGAACCCTGAACCCAGGAGTCATCAGGAGTCTCCTGATTCATGTGATGCTGCAGGAAGCTATGGGCATCTCCTATGGAATGTTCTTACCAAAAATGTCCCAAACAAAACCCTCAATATAATCAGATCTCTGGAGTTAAGTTCCATTTAGAATAAATCTGGGTGACAGAGGGGGCAAATCGAGACCATAAGGAAGCAAAGGGACAAGTCCAGCATGAGGGACATGAAACTGAGCCTGTTTCTGCAACAAGTTCATGGCATGAGGGAGGAAAAAAGGGGGGACTTCCCTGGAATTAAGAGACTCACTATATACTTGTGTTGTTCAACGGTGGCCAAACACGTGTGGCTACGCAGCACTTGACACGCGGCAAGCCCACGCTGAGATGTGCTGTTAAGTCTTAACATGGAAAAAAGAGTGTAAAATGTCTCATTAATAATGTTTATACTACTCAGGAGGCAGAGGCAGAAGGATTGCTTGAAGCCAGGAGACCATACTGAGCAACATAGTAAGACCTCATCTCTAAAATAATAATAAGATCATATTTTAACATATTGGGTTGTATAATATGTAAAAATTAATATCACATTTCTTTTTACTTTTTTCAATGTGGATACCAGAAAATTGTAAATTACGTATGTGGCTGGCATTTGTGACTCACATTCTATTTCTATCAGACAGCACTGGCACAGACTTTATCTGGATCCCGATATGAAAAAATTAATTGCCTCATCTAATTTTGCTCATTTTGTAGATGAGGAAAGGCTAAATATTCCACTGAATTATACAGCTGAAAAGTAAGACTAGACATTACATAAACCTTTCAGTCTACTACAATCCAGCAGTTTGAAGGCATTTTTATGACAATCGGGGAAGATTAATTATGGTCAGAGTACCAGACAATCGTAAGGCATTCTTGTTTATTTCGTTAGGCATCGTTTGGTGTTGTGCTTATGTAAGGAAACGGCTGTATTTAGACATGCACCCTGATGAATGTGGGGCCGAAATGCCATGATCACTGGGGTTTCCTTTAAAATACTTAAAAAAAGAGAGAGAGAGATAAAAGAAAGAATGGACGAAACAAATGTGGCCAAATCTTGCTCATCACTGACACTGAAGTGGGGTGTGCAGGGTTCCTTGTACGGCTCTCTTTACTGCCATGTATGTTTAAAAGTGTCATAAAGCCACACACCCACGTGGACCCACGACAAACGCACTGGCACGGAATCATTTCCATTGTTAGCACAGCTCCACTCCTGCTCCCAGGCAGAGGGGTGGGGACAGGAATGGCCCTCGATGCTAAGGACTGTGTCTCAAAAAAAAAATAAATAAAATAAATAAGGATTCTCAGGGGTTCTGGCCTCAACCCCAGGCTCTTTTCTGTGTGTAGGAAACATCACTGTCCTACTGCCACCCGTGCCCCTGGGGGTCAGGAGGGAAGCCTTAGAGAGGGGCTGGGACCACACCTGCGAAAATCCTCCTTCCACTGCCAGTGCAGGGTGAGCACTGCTGATAGTGCCCCGGGGAAAAGGGGCCCTCTGGGGGCCCTCCTGTCGCAGGTGCACAAGTCGGGCCAGGCTCCGGGAGCTCAGGATGCCAGAGACACCATGGCAAGCAGAGGAAAGTGCTAAAAGCCCGAGAGGCCAAGGCTCTTATCCATTCGCCAAAGACAGCGCCTCCCTCCCCCTGTCTACCCAGGGCTGAGGGGCTGCACAGCCAGGACGTTTGCTCTAGACCTGTGCTTCTCACACTCGGGCATGGGACAGAACCACCCAGGGGGTCTGTTCAGATGCACAAGGCTGGGCCCCACCCCTGAGTGATCCAGCAGGGCTGGGCGGTGAGAATTTGCAAGTCTGCTAAGTTCCCTGGTGATGTTGGTGTGGTTGGTCCGAGGGCCACATTTTGAGAACTACTGTTCCAGCCCAAACTCTCACCTGCTTGACACTGCTGGACTAGGACAACAGCTCTTAAAGTGAGGGCATCAGCCTTGCCTGGAAATGAATAACACATGCAAATTCCAGGCCCCGCTGCAGACCTGCTGATTCAGAAATACCGGGGCGGGGCCCAGGCGGCTGTGTGGGAACAAGGTGATGCTGATGCGGCTGGAGGTGACATCCAGGGGCCAGTGAGTCAGGGGCGGATCCCAGCAAGAGTGCTGAGGCCTCTCCCCACAGCTGCCTCGTGGTGCAGGGCCCCAAGCCGTGAAGGGTGGACAGGAATCCAAGAGAGAGAAGCAAGGGACGGGGACCCAAGGCCCAGGGAAGGTGGATAGAAAGGGGGTCCCCGAGATGCATGAGGACAATTGAGAGGACAAGCACCAGGTAGGGCGTCAAGACAGGCAACCTGCTGCAGAGATGGCTCCAAGCCGCTGCCAGGGCCAGCCTTTGTGTTCTGACCAGACATGTGTCAGACCAGACACATGACCAAGATGCTCACCTAAAATGCATCTCACGCCAGCGAGACCCACCCCCAGGATTCCCTGTGTCCTGAGGAGGGCACAAAATTGGCAGACACGATGCCTGGCCGGCCACGCCGACCAGAGACTGCTAGACCAGCCCTTCCCAAGGACAGTCTGATTTTTATTCCCCACGCTCCTGGGATCTTCTGCCTATCATTCCAATAACCGATGAGAATGTCCTGGAAATTCTGACATCCAGACTACATTTTCACCCACAGGGGACATAAGTTTTATCTTTCCCATCGGATCACACGTCCTGATGTGTCAATTTTGTCAACATGGTCCTGGTTCTCCTACACGGAGTGGCAGCTGGAAGGAGCCTGTGTTCTTGGGGTGTGTGATTAGGAAGGAAAGATCAACTTAGGAGGTTCCGTGATCGTGAAGAAGCATGTCACTCGAATATCCACACACTGTCACGTGTATGCGCCTGTGGGCTCCTTGACTCCTTTCTGGCCTCTAGTAATTGTCACTTCCCGCTGGTCTTTAGGTGGTTTCCATGGTGATGATGGACAGGGCTGCCCTAGCCTTGCTCTGGGATAGCAGGACACCTGATTAGGCACCCAGGGGACGCTGGGGGCTCAGCTGCCATCCTGGGCCCGCTTCCCACCCTTAGCGTCTGGGTACTTTGTCACTGCAGCTGGGGCCCTGGCAGATGATAAGCCACCCCCTGCCCCAGGGCCCTGGGCTGTCACCTTCCTCACCCCTACCCCACCCAGCAGCTGAGCCCGTCCCTGGGAGAGGCAGGGAAAGATGCCTGGAAGGTGTCCTGTCACCATGGCAACACGGCCAGCTCAGACCCAGCACAAGGTAAACGAAGAGTCCTTCATGAAGTATCTGTTTTGTGACCGATAGGTCACATACACATTCGAATTTCCATTTTCCAGAAGAGGAGACCGAGGCCAAGAGCAAGGAAACAGCTTGCTTAAGATCACACAGCAAGTGATCGAATGGCAGAGCTCAAGAGAGTGAAACGACCTTTGGATTCTTCAACTTGCCAAATGCATTTCTGCCTCAGGGCCTTTGCACTTGCTGTATGCATTGCCCTGTGAGCTCTACCGCCCCCTGGTCAGCGCCATCATGTAATTCAGGTCTCCACTGAAACGTCATCTCCCCAGGGAAGCCATCAGGACCACCCCTTAAAAAGCTGCACCTCCTCACCTCTTCGCTATGTTTTATTTCATTATAGAACTCGAGTCTACCCGACACTGTACATTATATTTTTATTATCTCAGTCTCCCCCACTAGGATGTAACCTTGTCTCTCAGCACTTTCTGCGTGGCAGGTGCAGGGCTAACCTCTTTACGTATGTATGATTTAATTGAGGCCTCATAAACACCCTCTGAGGAAGGTACTATCTTTATCCCTAGCTTACAAATTAGGAAACTGAGGCACAGAGAGGTCAAGTGGCCTGCCAACATCACACAGGCAAGAAATGGAGGAGCCGGGACTCACAGCCAGGCAGGTGGGTTCCAGAGTCTGCCTGGCACATAGTAGGGGCTCGATGAAGGAATGAATGAATGAACGAATGAATGAACAAATGGCTCTGGAGCCCGCCCTTTCCTGCTCACCTCAGTGCTGCCTGTGACCTGGTCTCCCTCGAAGTCCTGCCCCTCTTACCTCCGTTGGAGAGCTGGGGTGGTGCGGCTGGCACGGTGGCTGCAGCCCTGCCTGAGGGTGTCCAGGGGCTGGGCCTCCCCGCTGAGCCAGCCGCGGGGGCCTTCATGGGGGCGGGAGCCCCACGGCCGTGCCGGGCCTCACAAGCCGCTTGCTTCACCTCCTCCACCACGGCCACATCCCGGCGCGGCGGCGCCAGGGTGATAAAGACGGACGAGGCCACCCTCTTCTCAGGCTTCGTGGCCATCGCGCAGGCTCCTGCTGGGGCTGGGGCAGAGCAGGCTCAGGTTCAGGCTCCAGCTGGACACAGAACCCCCCCCCCGGGGCCATGGAGCCTCCCTCCAACTCCCAGGTAGCTCAGCCACCCCACCATGCCAGCCACCCAGCCCAGCACCCGGCCCAGCCAGAGGGGGGAAGGGGAGGGAGGACACGTGGCCACAGGCTGGGACAAAAGCCCTGACTGCCCCCTAACCTGCTCACCTGCGGGAGAAAAGGGCAGGTCTGCCCGCCTCACCTCACAAATGACGACTTTCCTCATCTGATTAGCGTGAGGAGGGAACGGCCCAGCCCCGGTTCCCCTGACTGCCCCCAGCCCAGGGCCCCGCCTGCCCGCTGGGCCACACTCGGGTGACAACCCTCACCGGGGATCTGGATTCTCCTGGGAGAGCCTAAGTCCCCGCTGGGGCTGGGGCAGGGACAGAGAAGGGAAGCCTCCGGGGGCAGGAGCGCAGCAAGGGCGACCTTTCACCAAGACCAGCTGGCGTGGAGCTTGCAGGCTCAGGGCATGTCTCGTGCATGAACTCCCGACCCCTCCCAGGCTGCTGCGGGGGGAGGCACGTTATGACCTGGCTCACGGATGAGGAAACTGACACTCAGAGAGGCAAAGTCACTCGTCCAGAGTTACCGACTGGTAGAGCTGGGATTTGAACCCAGAGCCCGTGCTCTCGGCCACTGTGCTCTGCTGTGCCCTGTCAGCCCAGCCTGCACCCAGCATGCCTTTCTCTGCCTTCCAGAGCCAGAATCTCTTCCTCCAGCCACCCCCAAAACCGTGGCCTTGGATCAGGCCCAGGCCAGGGGCGGGTGTGGGGTGGGGGGTCCATAGTCTCTAGCCTCACCCCCTAACCCCGATCTTTCTGGAGTACGAATCTTTCTCTTCTACTCAAAACCCCTCCCTCCATGGCTCTCCACCACCAGCATCCGGATAAAGTCTGAACTGCTGTGGCGTCCACCTCCCTGAGAGCACTCAGACCACTCCTCCTCCTCGCTGTGTCTTTCTATCTTACTTGCCTTGGAATGTTTCTACTATGGGTTTTTTTTTTTTTTTTGAGACAGAGTCTTGCTCTGTCACCCGGGCTAGAGTGTGGTGGTGTAATCATAGCTCACTGCAACCTCCAACTCCTGGCCTCAAGCGATCCTCCTGCCTCAGCCTCCAGAGTAGCCAGGACTACAGGTGCAGATCAGCACACCTGGCTAATTTTTCTGTTTTTTCTAAGGGACAGGGTCTCACTCTTGCTCAGGCTGGTCTTGAACTCCTGATCTCAGCCATCCTCCCTTCTCAGCCTCCCAGAATGTTAGGATTACAGGCGTGAGCCACCACATCCAGCCTGTTTCTACTATGTTTTTCCTCTTCTGCCTCCACAGAGTGAATTTCAGCCTTCCCTTAGACGCCCGGCTTAAACATCACCTCCTCCAGGAAGCCTCCCCTGAGTGCTGGTCCCCTCCCAGGGCAGTCATGCACTTCCACAGGGAGGTGACAGCCCCGCAGGACAGGCTGGCTCACTGCCAGGTGTCTGACCCCAGCTGTGTCCGAGTGCTCCGTGTGCCTTGGGGGCCGCACACGGTGTGGGGTAGCACCAGTGTGCAGAGCTGGGAGCAGAGTGGCACCCTGGGTCAGGAAAAGCCCATTTTCCATCTCTCAGGTGGTTCCAACAGACAGCAGCCTCAGGGGCCGAGGCTGAGGTGGGGCTGCCAGGGGGTGAGTCGGCCACGCCCAGCTCAGGAGTCCTCACTGGGCACCCCACGATGAGAGCCCAGGGCTATCTCACTCTGTCTGGGCCATCCTGACAGGCCCCAAAGCCCAGTCCACAGGTACATGGGGACAAAATAGGGACCCAGAGAGTGAATCTCAAGAAGTGGAGTGGGGTGGGGGATGGGGCCCCGAGGGACCCTAATGGTGGACTTGGGAGCCCAGTGGGAACTCATAGGCCCCAAAGTGTGTGGCTGCCTCAGGTCCCCTTAGTGACTGATGGAAAATAATAATAGCAAAAACAGCAGCACGTGCTCCCAAATTCCAATCCAGTTGGTTTGCACGTTTGGCTACTCGTACAGCCCAGCCTGACATAAAATACCTGCTCTGAAGAAGAGATCAATATGTCAGGAAAGACCTTTAAAAATTCTTTTAAAAAGTACTTCTCTTTTGTTTCTTGTTTTGGCAGTGACATTTGGAAGTATATATACTTATCCTGGCTGTCACAGGCTTTAGTTTCACACTTTGTTATAAGTTTAAGAATCTATTTTTGTAAATGATGTTCAGAGTGCATCTGAAAATTTTTTTTTTTTTGAGACAGAGTCTCACTCTGTTGTCCAGGCTAGAGTGAGTGCCATGGCATCAGCCTAGCTCACAGCAACCTCAATCTCCTGGGCTCAAGCAATCCTCCTGCCTCAGCCTCCCGAGTAGCTGGGACTACAGGCATGTGCCACCCATGCCCAGCTAATTTTTTCTATATATATTAGTTGGCCAATTAATTTCTTTCTATTTATAGTAGAGACAGGGTCTCGCTCTTGCTCAGGCTGGTTTCGAACTCCTGACCTTGAGCAATCCACCCGCTTCAGCCTCCCAGAGAGCTAGGATTACAGGTGTGAGCCTCGGCGCCCGGCTTGCACCTGAAATTTAAGGAAGAAATATCAGGCACTTGCTTCGTGCCTCGCACTGGGCCGAGTGCTCACCTGACTCTCAGCCCAGCTGCAAGGAGGGCCACAGTGCAGGGCCGTCACGACAGACTCCGAATTCTAACGGGAAGTCCAGGGTGTCCTCGGACCTTAGACGACACACCTTTTCTTCCTTTGACAGCACAAGGCTCCCCAAGATTCCCAGGCCTGTTCTCACCAGGAATGGCCCAATCTAGCCGGGGTATCCTGTGGTCACTGCATTCTGGGCTGGTCCCAGATACCCCCACCCCCAGCCCTGACCCTATGACACTCCTCCGGGAAGTCAGATCTGCCCGGTTTCTGGGAAAATGTTCAGCACTGAGGCCAGATGTTCGCAGCTGGGCAGCACCCCCCTCTCTCCCAAGCGGTTACTGCAGGGACCTCAGGCCCCAGGGGAAGGGCCTGAGCTGGGGGGTATCAAAGCCCTGTCACGTCCCACCAGGAAAGGGAGCCTCAGCTTCTCTCTCTGTCACTCTGCCCTAGTCACCCTGGATGGGGTGTGTATAAGCTCCCCATCGGGCAGCCAGCCTTGCCCAAGGCACCCCCACCCTCACCCCACCCAGGGAGAATCAGAGATCCAGTTGGGTAAGCGGAGAAAGTGGGAACAAAGGGAAGGAAAGTCATTTCCTGTCAAGAGGAAGGAAGGAGGCTGGGATCCAGCCAGCCAGCTTTAGGCTGCAGCCCTTGGGCAGGGGATACGGTGCTGAGGGGGAGGGGCCCCCACCCCCCACCGCGTCCCCCTTCCCACTCCTGACTGCCCCCCTCCAAAAAAACCTCTCGAACCACCTCTAAGCTTTGTTCTTTAGTAACTGGATAACGTAGTCTGTGTTTGGGTCTGGCATTAAACTTTGCTGGAGGTGGGGGAGGGACTGTGCCCTGACCCCCCACCAAACACAGGGGACCCGCAGCCTTGGAGAGGGGTTCGCTCAGCCTCTCTCCCACCCCAGGGAACCAGTGAAGGCACAGAGCGGGGTTCACACTGGGCCCTACTTCTTTCCTGCTGGGTGACCCTGAGCAGGTCACCAAACCTCTCTGGCCTGGCTTTTTTTCATGAAGAAGATAAGGAGTCTGTCCTGAGGGGTGGCGGGGAGGACGGGGGTGCTCAGAATCCAGGCACTCGGTAGGTGCCAAGAGGACAGCGGGTCGGTCAGCCCCTGGGGGAGAGGAGCGGCTCTGGGGGCTGGGCTCCAGCGAGGGTCCCGGGGGGACGCGGACTAGCTGCCACCGTGATGGAGAGCAGGGGTCTGTCGCCGCCGCAGCCTCTCCCGGGGTCCCCGGGTCGAGGCCGGGGAGGGCGGCCGCGGCACACTCCCGGGGACCGCCTAGCCCAACACCTTCCCAGCGCCCGACGGGCATCGGAGGCCCGGAGAGGGGCAGCCCGCGGGCCCTGCTTCCCCTCGCCGACCCGGCCGGGAAGAGGGGCCCGGAGCTCCGGAACCCGCGCCCTCCCGCGGGCGGCGGAGCAGGGCGGCCGCCGGGTCGCCGAGGGGCGCCGCCGGGACTTTAATTCGATCCATGTGCGGGACGCCGTCCCTTTGTGAGCCAGCTTCCGCCCTGCGCTCGGGTCGGTCCCGCTGCGGGCAGGGACGCGACCCCGCCGCCCCCAGACCTGCCCCTCCCCCTCCGGGTCAGGGTCCGGAGGACGGGGACCAGGAGGCGGGTCTGCACCCCCACGCCGGGGTCCCGGCGCGGGCGGGGTGGGCTCCGGCCGAGGGCTGCCCGGCTGTCACCGGTGAGTGGCCGGGCAGGCACGCAAGGACGCCACCCGCCCTCCCGCCCGCGCGCGCTTACCTGGGCCGCCCGCGCCCCGGCCGCTCGATCGGACGCGCAGAGCCCGGAGCCGCGGCGCCTCCCGCCCGCGCCCTCCCCGCCCCTCGGCTCCCTCCGCCCCGCCGCCCCGCGCCGCCTTTACCATAAAAGGTGACGCTCCAGGGGAGGGGGCGCGGGGTTCCCGCCCCGCCGAGGCCGCCCCACCTGCCCCCCCACCTGCCCGGCCGCGCCCCGCGCCGCCCCCGCCCCCTCTCTTTGTTCCCTCGACCACTCCTCCCCTCCCCCTCGCCCAGGCCCCGTGGGCGTCCTTCCCTGCGCCCACTCCTCCCCATGTCTTTTGTGTACCCGGAGGGGTCCTTACCCTTCTCCTCCCCTAGGTCACCTGGGTTGGCCACCCCACCTGCCCTGTCCCGAGGAGGGGGTGCCTACACCCCAGTTTGGCGCTGGGATCTGCCCTGGTCCTAAAAGGCAGGCAGACCAGGGTTCCACAGCCCTTCCCTAAGATGTGCCCTTGGGCAGTCACTCCACCTCCCTGAGCCTCAGTTTCTTCATCTGTAAAATGGGAGCAAGCACCGCCTCCTCTCCAGGGTGGCCTGAGGATAACAGGTGGTAAGGACAGTGAGGCGCACAGTCAGTGGTCAGGGTCTGCTGGGTTTGGGGCTTTCCCAGGGAGTGCCCTTGATCTGCCGTCCCCAGAAGTCACCGCCAGTCTCAAGCCCTCTGCAGGCGGGTGCCAGTGTCCTGGGAGACAGGCCCCAGCGGGCCTGTCCGTGACCCATGGCTGACCCCTCCCTCCACCTCCTGTTCCCAGGCAAAGCTGGTGTCCATAGAACAGGAGCCGGGAGGCAGAGCCAGGGCTCTGGGGCGCGATGGGGCCGGGATGGCCCGCCTGGGTCCCTGGAGGCCTCAGGAACATTGTGGGAAAAGGAATCTGGGTCTGATTCAGAGGCAAACAGATTGTTCTTTTGATTAAAGCCACAGTGGCTGGGGCCGGAGTGCTGACCCAGCGCCATCTGGGGGGCAGCCAGGCGGGATCTGCACTCTGCAGCTACAGTCCCCACCCCACCCGCCAGGTAGCTCTGGGGCTGCTCCGGAGGGGCCCACGTTCATGGCGGCAAGAGGGGTACCTGGATGCTCTGAATCGCTCACAGACTGATCGTTGTCCTTCCCGTCCCTCTGGTCACCCCGTTTCCACTGGATCCTCACAGCCTCGCTGAGCTAACAGCAGCAGTAGAGCAGCTGCCGTGGGGGCGTCAGAGGTGCTGGAGCCCAGCCTAGACCTTCCCCTTCTGTCCCTGCAGGAGCCCTGAGCACCAGGGTGATGGTCCCCGTCCACAGAGAGGACACCGAGGCCCTGGGAGGCTTAAGGCTGCACAAGAGGCCAGTGACAGAGCTGGATTCAAGCCAGACCAGTGTGTGGCCCTGGGCACAGGGCTGAGCTGGTCCCAGGGACAGGCACTCTGCCACCCTTCACAGATGCGGAAGCCGCAGCTCGGAGAGGTGACCCGAGTGAGACTAGAACTCAAGGCTGCCCAAGCCCCTGGTCAGCTTAGTCCCCAGCTTGGCGGTGACGCCCCCACTCTGCAGCACCATGTGGACACTTCCCTGTGCCCCTGCCGGGAGGGAGCCACTGGCCGTGGGGGGAGGGAATGACCTAAAGGAGGAAGGTGCCATCCAGGGCTTTTCAGACACTGTCAGCTGTAGTGCACTTTCAAGTGCTTGGTGACCTAGAAGCTCAATTAAGCAGATAAAAATGGAGCCCCCCCCTCCATGATGTCCCTGAGCCACCTCAGTGCACCCCCAGGTGGGAGAGTGAGGCACCGAAGGGTTGACTTGGGGCCATGTCCAAGGTCACACTGACTCAGTCTGGGACCAAGGCCTCCCTCGGCTGCTCTGGGACAGTCCAAGGGGGCTTCGGGGGTCCAGCTGCCCTCACTCACCTGCCGTCCAGCTGCTCTGGCCGCCTGCTCCCCCGCCGCCGCTGCTCCTGGATGGAGGGGCAACAGGCTCCTGCACCAGCCAGGTGTCAGTGTCACCGATAGCAGGTGCCAAACTTCCTGCAACGGAAACCCAGGAAGTGCGCCGGACGAGAACACACGCCCTTTGTCTGCCAGCTCAGAGGCCCTGTGGCCCTCCGGCCTCCCTGCCAGGCACGGGTGGCTCTCTTCCCCTCTCAGATGGCCCCGGTGGGCAAATGGGCTCCATCTTCTATTAGGGTTGTGGTGGCTGAGACCCTGGGTGGCAGGGAAGGGGAGGAGAGAGGTCTGGGGGCAAGACCCAAGGCGGTGGGACATTTGCTGCCATCCTCAGGGGAGGGCTTGGGCTTAGCAGACTGGCGGGGCACCTACTGTGTGCTAGGTGTGAGTCGAGCAGCCATCGGGAATCAATCAGACACAAGCCATCCTTGTCCCCACAGAGCTTACAGGGAGGTGGGGGAGAGTGACACCTATGCACGTTAATATAATATAATAGTTACCAATAGTGAGACGTGCTGTGGAGGAATGAACAAGGGCTGGGACAGACAGAGGGTGGGGGTGGAGGTGGGGCTGCCCGAGCACCTGCTGTGTGGAGCACCCTGCTGCGGGGGCCAGAATGGGTGCCCCCCTGAGTGGGGGCCGGTGTGGGTGGCAGCAGGGTAGGTAGTGGGATCTCCCACGCAGTGGTGGGGTCGGATGGGCACAGACACAGCTGTGACATCAGTATATGTGAGCGATTCCAGCTCTGCCACTTGCCAGCCTCATGCAAATCAATTCTGTCTGGGCCTCAGTTTCCTCCTGCGACCAGGGGTCACAGGACTGCCCTTGTGGCTTCGTTGTGGGAATTCAGTGGGATGAATGTAGATAAAAGTGCCTCGCGCTTAGTAGGTGTTCAAAGGTGGGTTCCTTTCCCCTTCCCACCGTGGAGAGGACAGACATTTGGGGACATCAGAGTGAGGTAGGCAAAGCGCTGCAGGGGAGGGAGGGCAGAGACTCGTCCCGCAAGAGAATCTAAGGGACAGCCGAGGGTCCTGCCGGCCCTGCCTTGTTTTCTTTGTTCTGATAACAGAAAGCAGCTTCTGTTTGGGGAACCTCACCTCCATTCTCATTTATTTATTTATTTTATTTATTTTTTGGCCAATTAATTTCTTTCTATTATTTATTTGAGACAGAATCTCACTGTGTTGCTTGGGCTAGAGTGCAGTGGCGTCAGCCTAGCTCACAGCAACCTCAAACTCCCGGGCTCAAGCAATCCTTCTGCCTCGGCCTCCCGAGTAGCTGGGACTACAGGCATGTGCCACCATGCCCGGCTAATTTTTTCTATATATTTTTAGTTGGCCAATTAATTTCTTTCAATTTTTTTTTTTTTTTTTTAGTAGAGATGGGGTCTCGCTATTGCTCAGGCTGGTCTTGAACTCCTGACCTTGAGTGATCCGCCTGCCTCAGCCTCCCAGAGTGCTAGGATTATAGGCGTGAGCCACCACACCTGGCCGTCACCTCCATTCTCAATGCCTGGGGCTCAGGTGGGGTTGCTACAAACCTCTGCCTCTTGGGGTGTATACATGACCCAGGTCTGGCCAATCATGATGGCTGTTAGTTCTGAAATAAGAACCCAAACTCATTCCTGGGCCTATGCTGGAACTATTCGGAAAGAGGCAGTATTTTTCCAGTGGGCTTGTTAGCTGGCGGGATGCAAGCTTGGCACCACTTTTGCTACTATTTGGACCAACACAAAGGACAGCAGGGCAAAGACCTAGAAAAGGAGAGATAACTGATTTCATCACTTAAGCTGCTGGATCCAGCCACGCCTGATATCCTACCTCTGGGCCTCTGGAGCCAATGCATTCTTTTTTTCTTACTTTTCCTTAAGCCAATTAAAATTGTATTTCTGTTGCTTTCAAGAGTCACAACGAAGCCTGGTGAGGCTCCATGAGTCTAGATCATCTC